CATGTATAAATATTAGTGCGCATGCCCAACATTTCGTTGCCTGTTTTCGCCTATTTTTGCTTTGGCACCACAGCGCCACTTACAGGCCTGGCATACATTTTGCAGCATTTTCATGCGTTCGTGTGGACGATCAAATTTATTTTACGTCTCCGTCTTTACGACAAACGTTCTGGAAAATATTAGCGTTTCGTGTTCGTTTTGACTTCGTGTGGATGGGGCCTAAGGCTTTTGAAATAAAGCAGCTAACAATGAGGTAGGGAAAAATGAGTTCAAAAAATGTGCTTCAACTCTTTTAACAGTTCAGTTTAAATAATTATAAGGAACCTTGCAGAAACAAAACTGTTCCTCAGCCCAACTGTTTGGCTTTTTCTGCGTGTCAGAGTAAAAAATTTAAGCTACGAGCTCAACAGAGATGTGTTTTGACATGTGGAGATGATAATATGGGGGGACGTGTCTGCAGCCTCCCAAGTGTCCCAAAGCTCTGATGCCTCCATTGATTCAAGTCTGGAACTACCAACAGACTCTCTGGCTAATCACTCTGGCTTTAACACTTATCACCATGGCAGAGATCCTGAGTTCCCTTCAGCAACATGAGCATAAACTGCCAGGAAGATGCACAAATGGCTTCAGGGAAGAATAATCAGGGAAACCGTGAAAGTCCTGGAGCTGAGCATGAATATTTCTGCCGAGAAGAAGAGAAGAAACTTCCAAAGACAAGAAGCGCCAGGCTTACTGTGCCAGGTGAATCATTTCCAATCACTTCCTGAGTGAAGCAAGCGAATACTTGTGATAATTGCACAATTTCAGTGCTGTGTTTTATTATGTCTATTTAAACACATCTTTGTCCTAGGTGAACCATTAAGCATGAACATGAACAAAAAAAAAAAGGAAATTAAAGGGTTAAAAGAACCCTATCAAAACTGTTTTTAGAAGAGAATAAATTCTAGTTTTATGATCATTACCTAAAAGCAGAATTCATGTAATTACTTCCCATTAAATGTGTGAGTGTGTGTGTTTGGATCACCTGCACTGCACAGCCCAATAGGAGCAGCAGTAGTCTCCGGAGCTCTTCCACAGCTGCCTCTGAGGACACAGAAATAACTGTCATCAGCCTCATTATCACCGTCATCATCATCATCCTCTCCGCCCCGCTCCACCGTCCTCCTCATCATTATCACCTTAATGTGCTTCACAGATTGCCCAGATATGGACTTGTGCATGAAATAATGAGTTTCTGGTGGCTGAGAGACACGCCACTGATAGGATCATGTTGTTATCTTGTACCTGTTAGGGGGTCCTGCCCCAGTAAGGCCACATTTGGGAGAGGCATGAGGATCAACTGCTGCAGGTCCTCCTGTATGAAATGGATGAATGTGGAGAGTTAAGCACAAATAAACATCTTCCTGTCTCCAGTCAGTCTGCAGATAGTGAGGCGCCCAAGCAACATTTTCCACCTGGTTGCTGTAATTTGTAGTGTAAACAAAGAAGAGAAACCTAACAAGAGGGTTTTTTTATCCTTTAAGCCAAAAGAACATTAATGCATTTTGATTTTACATTTCTGAATATAAATGTTCATTTTTTTCTCCTTTCGTAAAAACAAAGACAAAGTGATTGTGATGTGAAGTAAAAATCAGTGAAGTGCTCATTGCTCCGATTCTAAAACGTGGGTAATGAGGGTAGTGTGACATTTACATTCACCGAGTCGCAGACATCACAACAGACGTCATCAAAATGCAGTTGCTTTCAGTGGCAACAGACAGTGAATATTACCACCAAGAAAACATTTTTAAAGCCTGATATCAAAATTAAAACTTTTCTCTTTTTCTTTGATGAGAATTTTTTTTTAGTAAAAGATGTTTTTTAGAACTTTATAAAACCTGTCAGTCATCTATCCCTTTTAAACAAATCATTTATAGAGTGCACATAGCATTATAGTGATGTCTAGGCAAAAGAATTAATAATTTTGTGTCATACATTGACAGTAAGCCTCCTTTTTCTCCAAACTGCAAAATAAAATGCTTAAAAACCAGCTGAGTAACTCCAGAGTCCACCTGTCGAATGTAGTCTTATATATACATCCTGAATCAGAATCAGAATCAGAAATACTTTAATAATCCCAGAGGGAAATTACTTTTGTTACACGCTCCAGTTACAGTTTTACATGATATATACACACATCCAACTATACAATATAATAAAGATAAAATAAGAATAAAAAGAGATAAAATATATACACATAAGAGAGCATAAGAGCTGTTAAAACATAACCTCTCATCTAAACTGAATGGCTGGTCAATGAGATGGAAGAAAACTGCTTAACCTGCTTGTAAAACACTATTTGAGACTCAAAACTAAAACTGTAAATCATTTTAAACACACTGACCCCACTATGAACCATGGTGTTGGCACTGTGATACTGTGGGGATGCTGCTCTTTAGCAGGGACAGTGTAGCTCATCGGATCTTATGGGAGGATAGATGAACAAGCAGCATATAATAACATGATCCAGGAAAACCTACTAGAGGCTGCAAAGGAGTTGATGATGGGGTAAAGCTTTACGTTCCAACAAAACAACTAGACTACACATACAGCATCAGTAATATGTTCACATGGTCTAGTCAAAGTCCAGACTTATTTCCAACTGTAGCATAATCCCAGTAATGATGTGATCTCTATTCAATCTGACTGAGCTTGAGCTATTTTACAGAGAAAAATTGTTGACATCTGATTCTTTAGATTGGCTAAACTGGTACAAACATACCTATATCCCAAGACAAAATGTAAAAAGGTCTAGGAGGTGTGAATACTTTTGTAAGGTGCTGAGCTTCATTTGCATTATCCAAACAAACTGATCTAACAGATCATGTTGATTGAAGACAGCCATTTGTTAACATTTAAATCATTTCAAACACGGAGATTACTTAAGCTAATAAACCTCAAGCCCATTATCCACTAAAGCCAGGAAGAATAAACAGTTGATTGTTCGACAGAGCATCTATAATGTGTTTCAGAGGAAAAGACATGATTGAGTAGCGGCAGAAGGCCCAACATCGTGGTCAGCTTGTTTCGGCAAGTTGTAATTTGTGTTCTAAGCTCTTGGACTAATCTTCTGGCTCTATCAAATGACGCTGAATCAAGCTGGACTGCAGACGCCTCAGACATTTCCTATCCAGAAAACCTGGCTTCTCTGGCAGCGAGAGAGGATTCATGGTGTGGGTCTGTAGCGCGTTCCTCCTACATCTAATGTAGTCACAGTTTAGCAGGTGATCCTTCTGTTGCTCATTTTATTTAATTAGTCTCAGACAACAACAGCATCTCGGGTAATTAAAAACATTTCTGTCAGAAAGCCCCACTCCCACACTGGCGAGCTCCTTCCCCAACTGCTCTGGAAGTCTGTTCTCATCCATCAAAGGAAAACCATCAGACTGCAGAAGCAATTCACAATTATAACTCCTTTTTTTTTTTTTTTATAAACTGTAGAGCACCAGAGGTAGGAGAGGACTTCCTTTAACAACTGCTATGTGCAGCCAAGCTTACAATTCTGCTCCATTCGGGGCATGCAGGATAATAGCCTCTGCAGCCCTGACATGGCCATCGAGCCGCTTGTGGCTCCCGATGCCAAATAGACTCCGGCAGCAACTTAGACACTCTGAAAATTATATAGCAGCGGCCTGTTGTTCTTGGCACGCCGATGTCTCTGTGTGAATAACTCCCTGCTTGGCAGCGCAGCCAAGATCTCCGTACAGTTCAGGGTTATATTTGCTCAGATTTCTCAGCTGCTATAATTTAAACATCATCCCTTGATACGGTAATGCATCCTTCCAAGGGAGATTAGAAAACGATATGAGCGGCACACATTGCAATTATCTATGCTGTGCTGCGATTTCTGACAGTTTCACTTGTTGTGCTAAAGCTTTGGGGTCATTCCTTCGTTTTCCATCTTTCGTGTCCAAGCCAGTCCTTGTTTTCTTTGAAAGCGGTCAGGATTCATAGCTGTCAAAGTAAAAGTACGCCTTTTTACATCGCCTTTGGATGCTTCTACTTCATTGAACTGACCATGAAGTATTGTATTTTTTATCTAATAATGTAATATTAGTGAAGTATTGCAGAAATCAACATTTCATCATTAGTGAGTGGTAAACGGTTAGATTTATTTTAGTAACCTTTTGAAAAAAAAGCTTTTTCTGAGTAGTTTTACTGCAGCTAACAATATCATCACTTTATTAGGCACATGTTGGTCCATATAAGCTAAAGCTAAGCTTCATAGAATGAAGAAATTACTTTTTTTTCACCACCAGAATGAGACACGTCTACATGTAGCTTTGCTGTTTTGCTATTTTTTTATAAGCTGAGCCATTTGGAAATCAATATATACTGTAGTAGCAAATATGCATTACCTTCTGTAAATATGGATTAATTTGGTTTCATTTGGGGAAAAAAATATTCATGGAAAGTTTTATTCCTGCATATTTATATTATTTATGGGGTATTTTGTTGTCTTTACAATATCAGACTTTTAGCAAATTAGTGTAATTTCTTTCTCTTTATATTCAAAGATGACGTGCCGCTTGTCGATCCATGCCGTATAACTAATCATACTTGGTTGCCATGAATAAAAATTCCTAGGACAATTTTTTGGTCCGACCCAGCCACTGATCTCTATTTATTAACTAGATTGCTGATATGTCACCTTTCACCATCTTGGTACTTCTCACTCTCACAGTGTTGCGCCCTAAAAATGCCTATAATGTCATGTAATTACCATAATAATGTAATCAATACATGTATATTCACATGTACACCATCAGTTTAGGACTTTTGGCACATCATCAGATAGTGCGCATGTATAATAATAATATTAAATAAATAATATTCTTAATATCTACGTACAGCTCCATTAACACACTAATTTTGTTGTGATGGATTTGTATAATATGTTATACTACGTGATTTATAGAATTCATAGACTTCAAAATGACTATGCAATGTAATGTGCCTATTTATTTACCTCAAATGACAGCAAGTGTGTGTCAAAGTGATGAATTAAATCTTTATTTTAAAAGTCTTAAGCCCCCTGAAACTGAGAAATGCATCGTTGTTCGAGTAAGGAGTACCAATATGGCGTCTGGTGACTTCACAGCACTGTGTACTAATAATGGCCTATCAGCAAACCAATGGATAAACAGAGATCAGTGGATCCAGCTGTGCTCAAAACAGATAAAGTACAGCAGCAGAGCACCACATCAGGTCCCACTCCTGTTCCCTAAACTGAGGCTCATTGATGGAAAGTAAAGAGATTGGAAAAAGTTTTTAGGGTTTCCCGAGTCTCATTTTCAGCTGCAACACTCAGATAGTAGGTTTAGAGACAACATAAGAGCATAGATCCATCCTTTCTCCTCCCAACATTTTATGCTGCTGCTGCTTTTGGCCAACTTTTGGCCCCTCAGTACCAACTGATTATCTTTTAGAAAAACCCAGCCTGTCTGAGTGTTGTTGCTAAAAATGCCTCTCATTTAATGAAACCAATGTACACCTCCTCCTCTGATGGCTACTAAGATGTTTAACCCTTAGCCTGAGGTCATTGGTTCCAACACCCTCCACATTCACCAGATCTCAGTCCAACACGGAATTGCTGAAATTTAATAAAAGATTTACATCATGGATCTGCAGCTGACATGGCGGCCACCGCGTGAAGAACACCACACAGTCTCAGAGGAATGTTTGCAACAGAATCCATCCATTAATTTTCTTACATGCTTTTCCCAAGTGGGGTCGCGAGGGGGTGCAGGTACCTATCTCCAGCTGTCTACGGGCGAGATGCGGGGTATACCCTGGACAGGTCGCCAGTCTATCGCAGGGCAACACAGAGACAAAAAGGACAAACAACCATTCGCGCACACATTCACACCTAAGGGGACTTTGGAGAGGCCAATTAACCTAACAGTCATGTTTTTGGACTGTGGGAGGAAGCCAGAGTACCCGGAGAGAACCCACACAGGCTCAGGGAGAACATGCAAACTCCATGCAGAAAGACCCCGGGCCAGGAATCAAACCCAGAACCTTCTTGCTGCAAGGCAGCAGTGCTACCCACTGCAACACTGCGCAGCTCTCAAACAGAATCCAATAGTACTAAAGTGCACCTAATAAAGTGGCCAATTTCCTTAAACAAACACTGTTCAGATTGAGTAAAAAGAAAAAGAACAAGAAAAATTACAGATTAATATTGCTGAAAAACTGAAAATAAAATGCTGAGAAATTTGAGGATAACTTCAAACTTCAAATAATTAAACACCACAGTATAAAAGTGGTGTAAAAGGGCCAACTTTATCTTAATACAGTAATAGAGTAAAAATTCTCATATGATTTTATATTTCTCCTCCATCTCTTGTTCAATTTAATTGCAAACAGCTTGTGGTCAGGTCCAGTGGATTTAATAGACAGCTTAATTACTGTCCATGCCCTGAATTTAAAGTAATAGAAGACGAAAATATAATTAAAACTAAGTGAACAAGTTCAAAATGTCACAGCTGTATCAAGTTTGAGAATGACAGTATAGCAGCTGCATCGTATATGGTTGAGAGTCTTATAAAAGTGTTCAATAACAGAGAGTAAAAGGTCTTGTGACAAACCTCTAAATGTTTCTGGTGTCTCAAGAAGCTCATAGAAAGATAAACTAGCTCCACCTCCCGCTGTGACCACTTTCAGCTGTGGCTCAGAGGCTCATGCTATCTAATTCTGTCCTTTAAAACAAATATATCCACCTAGAAGAACCAATACTTTTTTTCCCTTTCACATATTACATTGTGTTGCAACAGCAGGACATTTAAAGTCCTTTTCGCTGCTGCATTGGCCGTTTTACCTTCCCATCTGGGAGATTCTGCCAACACAAGGTTAATTAAGAGAACCAGGCAAGTTGAAATGCTCAGTTCCCTTAAGAAATGTCGTGATTTCACTAAAACAGGTTTATCTAAATGTTCTATAAATTAGCAGTCAAGCAACATGAACACCTTAAATCCTGTTAAGTAAAGGTTGAATTACAGGCGAGTAATCTAAAGAGAGCGAACCAAACAAATAAGAGTTTATTAGTAAGACCAAAACACAAAAAATGAACCAAAGCTTTATCACAGTGATTTTAAATGATACTCCTCTGGTAAACATAGCTAAATCCAGTTTAAAAGAACAGCTTTCACACATAATAATCCACAATTAACTGAGCCGGTATATTAGAGAAGCTAAGGTCAGAGCAGAGAAAATGAACCCTTGCCTCGCCTCACGCTGTGGTTTAAGTTGGGAGCTTTCATGCTCTTTTGAGTTGCACACCCTTTGCGTGAGCTCATAAACAGCAACAGCATGAGTGAGAAGTAAAACTGTGACCAAATGTGGAACCAAATGTTCTGAGTGACTGTGGAGTCAGGTCTGAGTGCACCTGGTGAAATGCTCGTGTGCCCGATAAGAGCTTCCCATTTACTGCCCCCATTTCCTGAAGCCCTGAGCTTTCAAGGGACATTAGCAGCTCATTGGAAATCAGGAAGTGAAACCTTGTAGGCTCGTGTTCCAATGCTGTGTGACAAGCAAACCAGTGCATGTTCCGTCCAGCTGACTGGAGCATGGGAATGCTCTCTGCGCTGAGAACACAGCTTTTAAAATTATCCTCAGAGGAAATCATTTTCAGTTCCTGAAATCCCATAGGCGCCGACCCTGCGCATTGAGAAATACATGATACTGGGAGTTATTAAAGGGACTTTTATGCTACGTTTTACTACAGGTGTTGCTAATAACATTCCTTTTTCTCTGACTGTGACCAACTGTATGTGCTCTCTTCGTCCTCTGACATGGGAGCTGGCTTGGAGCTCGTCTGCCTGGCTGTGTGTTTCCTGGACGGGGCCGCCTGTGGAGCAGGTTGACAGTTGCCTTTTGTATCTCTGGTTCTTTCTGTCTCCTTGAACCCCAGTCAGCCTAAGCAGATGGCCGCTCACACTTAGCCTGGTTCTGCTGGAGGTTTCTTCCTGTTAAAAAGGAGTTTTTTCTCTCCACTGTCGCTACAAGCATGCTTTGTGTGAGGGATTGCCTTCGAGTCAATGAGTCAATTGCAATCAACTGGGTTTCCTTAAATACAAAACTTTTAAATCAGTTTCACTGTATGATCTTGTTGAATTGTTTCTATAAAGTGTCTTGAGATGACGTGTTGTGATTTCATACTATATAAATAAACTGAACTGAATTAAACAATAACTTAGCTTGAACCTCCTCCATTATTTCCCCCCACTCACCTCACTGGCCTGATAATAAGCAAGGACACGTCCACTGAGGTTGGAAATGTTATGTTTCATCTTCTCTTTTGTGCAAATGTTCTGTCACACACCCACACTCACTTCAGACCCCATACAATAACCTGAGGCTAAATATTCATGTGCTGCAACTGATACTTGAGTTTCATCTTGTCCTCTGTTTATATCACCTTCAAGCAAGTCAACAACATCTAGCTTTTTGTCAGCTTGCTTTCCCTTGCCATTCGGTGTAGCCTGGAGTTATGTTTTAGCGGGATATTTTAGACTCTTCTGCTAAGATTGAGCTCTGAGTCATTCCTCTAGATCCACAACCAGTGTTCATGGAAACAGGGAAGAGTTTTATATCTTACATCAGTTTAACACAGGTTTCGCTTCTAAGGCTGTATTTAGCTCACTTTCTTAAGCTACAGTTTGCATTTCCTCTCCTTTTCTTTTATTTCTCATAAGTTTAGCTTCTTTATTTCGATTTTTTTAAAGGGATTTCATGATTTTAGTCTGACAGTAAGCAAACCTGGTTACGAGCAGGAAAAGTGAAATTAAATTACTCTCAGTGGGTTATTTTCTGTTTTTTCATGAACGTGATGACATTTCTCAGATCTATTTTAAGAAGGTAAATTTACATGTGTGGGAGGTCTAAATGTTCAGCGTCATTAAATGAAGAAAAAAAGGTCTGATACAAAAATGTATTTCCTTCACTGCATTTTTGTTTTCATGGAATCACAAAATATTGATGCTCGAACAGGACAGGAGGATAATTGTGTATCCTGTTGCTTTCATTCAACCTCAGGAGGAAACTCATAAGGATATGGATATTATTTCCTCTGAGGCCTGGAAACACTGCTGATTTCCTTGGGACTCTCCCCTACCTGATAGAAGGCCCTGAGGTGCCGGTTTAAAATGGAGAAGTTCTGGACTCTTAGCATTTGGTCATCTTTCCCACTGTTGTACAGCCGCTCCACCTTGGGGTTTGGGTCTCTAGGCAAAGAGAAATAAAAAATAAAAAAAACATTAACATTGTTGTTTGATCAAACAGCCCAGCACCATGTCTCCCCACGTGAGAAACGCTTATGCAACAGTTCATTTAAGTCCAATAAGCAGAAAATGTGGATCCAAACGCTATTATTTGCTGAAATAATGTTCCAAATTAATCAGCTGCTCCACAAATACCGTGGTTCTGTCTTGCCTAATAGCAGACAAAAGGGTTTTTTCCTCAGGCAGAGGTTTGAACAAAAGAACAAAAAATTCAGTGAGGATGACTAACAAGATGGCAAGTGCACAGAACCGCGTTTCGTGATTTACTCAAAATTTGTGGGTCATGCATCCAAGCCAGCCATTCTCTCTAAGAAGCCGCAGAACAATTTGAGGTTATGAAAGGGTGGGTGATGAATGTTACATCACATTTTATGCAGGGGGGAGAACATTAAGATTCTGCTGCCACACTTATAAGTCTCTGAGGCTGTGCTGTGTCTAAGAGAAGAGAGGATATGTCTGCTGTGTTCACTGCTTTGGTTTGGCATTTTAGCGCGTTAACGTTCATTAATTAGAAATACACTCATGGGAATGAACTATTTGGGAGGTATTTATGCATAAGTTGTTTTATTTTTCCCAGGGTGCGAACAATTACTATATGTTATGCAGCGTGTTGGCCTCCATTCAGGGAAATACCAGGGACCGCAGATATATATCAGTATCAGTGTCGTATTTATCGGGATAGGCTGTATTTAATGCAACTGTTTAATTCAATTGTTCTAATTTCTACCAGATTTAATATATAACGAAAAATTTACATTTTTTCAACATAAGGCAAGTGCATAAATACATTTAATGTGATAATTTATCGGGTGGATGCACAAAAAGCTATTTAATTATAGAAAGCTGGGGCAAATCAGGTGGACTGAACCATTTTTAAGGCCAAGCAGTCTAGGACTTAAACATTTGCAAATAATTGCAGAAACCTTCTGCAATCATTTGAATACCTGTTTGGCTTGCTAGTACTAAAAAGTATGAGATCAATAATAAGAAAGTTTACAAATCTGTTGAACTTCAGGGGGTAATCAATTAAAGGTGCAAGAACATAATATCCTACATCAGCTTTTAAAACAAGGAAACACTTGCTCCAATTGCTCCTTTATTTAGAGACATATGTGGTGGTCCAGTTTTTATGAACACTTACCGTTACCTGAGCTTGGAAAGGACACAAAAAAGATAACCATGGTGGAAAAAGCTCAGAAAGTGCTGGACTCAATCAAAATCAGATTTCCCACTCCCACAGCCATTTAAACATGGTGGTGGCAACATCATGCTGTGGAGAAACTGCTCTTCAATGGTAACAAAGCATAGTTAGTTAAATCTTTATGGGAGTGCAGAAGACTGGACACGGTGCTGGATTTAAAACTTGCAGCACACCCATAAAATATAAACTTAGAGCTGGATAGGGTTGATTTGAATTGGCCCTGTCACTGTTAAAGGGGTCATCACCCGGATATTTGACTTTTTAAATGTTAAAACATTTGCATTGATGCTGGGCTGAAGTGTGTGAGTGGCTTGTTTTTTGTTTCAGTGTGGGTACTTTGTTAAAACCACAAAAAACCCATAAAGTGAGATATGATCATCCTTCTGTATTGACCCTGGAAGAGTGCTAAGTGTAACTACCGGTCTGTACTGGTAGCAATATGGGAAGAACGATCCGTATCATCGGCTCATTTGTGCATACGCAACCAGATATGGATCTGGGTCGCCCTCGATTTTACTTTGTAAAAACTACCTAAATTATGTTTCTACCTACGTTAAAGTACTAAACTATAATGCGTGAAACGTTAATAACTTATTTTCTGGGAAAATTTATTCATTTAAATCTTTTCTGTTTTATCACTGGTCTGTGATCGATCTGTACCGGACATGGAATCCTATGCCACTTCCTGTTGCTAACTCATTTGGCTTTAGATTTAAAAATAAATCAAGTCTTATTGAGTTTTTTTTTTTTTCCTTCTTTCCGTGTTAAAACTAAAATAATTTTGCCGAACTACTCTGAGCATGTCCAATAAAGACGTCAGACAAGCTGTTTACCTGAGAAAATGTAAAAAGCATCAAATTGTCTCATAAAAGTCATTAAAAACTTTTTGGGGTGCTGAGTAGCATTATTTATTGATTTAAGGGATAAAAACAAGTAGTTTTACTAACATAATTACATTATTTATGGCGACCTGGATGAATATCTAGTTGCACATGCACAAATGAGCCGACAGTACGGATCAGGTAGTGATGCCAACATAAGCATGCCTTGCTACCACCAATCCTGACCAATGGGAGCAATTCCCACAATAAGGGACCTGCAGTCAGTTGGATAAAAAACAAACAACAAAAAAAACACTGGAAATGGTAAATATGGTTGCTTCTGAATTTTTACCTATACTATCAAAATGCTATTGTTGCAAAGGCTAATTCAACTAAAACATGCATACATGTCAGATTCTTATGCTTACCCTTGTCAGAAAAAAGAGAGTATGAAAAGGGGTCTGAATGAGCTCTATTTATTCATCTCCAATTACACATGGTTTTTAAGGATAAATTTAGAAGGATTGTATTAGTAAAATACCAGGTTATGACTCCTTTAAGATTTTGTGGCACGCTTTAAAAACTTGCCCTTAAGGACTTGCAGCAGTAATTTCCGTTGGTTCCACATAATAGCGACATTGGACAGTTTTTGGATTTTTTTAAATCATTTTGCATATTTCTTACATTTCAAAATCATTCATTACTTTGGGGTAGTCCATTAAAATCTGAATAAAATATATTGAAAATATTTGTTTGCAACTAACTACCTACACTTGTTTAAAACTGTGATAGGAATATTATCATCTAATAGCATCTAAACTAGTAACCTTTAACAGCATTCATTAAAATAGGGAAAGGTTTGGAGTTTAGGTTGATGAGATAAGCCAATATTTTCTTTCATAGGATGCTTTAACTTGACTCGTCTGCAAGAATCTCTACCTGATTCTTTAAACAGATGTTCTTATGAGAACTGGCCATAGCAGGGCAGTTACCTACTACCTAATACTCTTTACACAAAAACTCATTCGTAATTCATCCTTACTCACCGTTATATAATAGCATATTTTAAGATATCTTATCCTTTGTGTTTTCCTGATTTTTTTGTGTGAAAAGTTCAGGGCTGCTAGAATTTTAAAGCTGAAATTCTCATTTTAAAAACCCTGCATATGAATTTACACCAACATAGTTTTTCCTCCAAAAGAACAGAGTTTACAAAGAAAGCTAAATCTTTATGCAGCTCTCAGATCTTTCTGTCTCAGGACACCGGAGCAAGGTTAAACTTCCTAATTATCGCTCTCTTCTGAAAGCAGAAACTATTGCATACTTAATTTTTGGCTATAATTAGCTGAAACCTTCAAAAGAAAAAAAAAATACAGCTTTAAATACTTTCATTATAAATTATAGAGGTATAAAAATCAGACAGATGGCATCGGTTTCTTTGTATCTCTTCACCTTGTTCTGCCTCTAGTGTTGGGATGCAAAAAAACTTGTGACTCTCTAAATATAACTTGGAGCAGGTGTTACTTAGATTTAAAAAAAAAAATAGAAAATGACTGTTTTCTTTCTGGATTTGTCCTTTCCAGAATGCAAATTGTTAAGTTTCCCTCTCTGAAATATAAAAGCCTCCTTCACAGATGAAATTAACAGGACCTTGCTTCCAGCCCAAACAAGCACCACTAATCCTTTAAATCACACTTCTTAACATACAAGGTCAGGTCTATGTTTTAATGAGGATAATAAATTAATAAGTAGTTCATGCTTTTGAAAAATGTCAAAAAGGTAAAGTTTGCAAAGTCTCTGAACTAAACAAAAGTTATTATAGGTTTCCTTTTAACGACGTTTTCTATCTCCACCTTATTGTTAATAATGTCATACATGATACAGAGATGTTTCAATAGGTCATCACATATTTCCATATTTTTTAATGATTAACTAGCAACTGTACATTGAAGTTTAACTGGAAAATATATGTTAAAAACTCTCTCTTTATTTAAGTTCTTTTAGGATCAAATGTTTCATTAATCAAAGCTTTTGTCTTCCGAGGTTACACTTCTAATTTCCCTCATGATTCTATTTTCCTTTGTCTCATCCTAATCTGTCATGACAAACATTTATCAAGGAACTCTATAAATGTAGAGTTTATTTCTACACTCTGTGGTTTCATTAAAGTCTGAATAGCAGCAATGAAATGAAGAGACAAAACCTTAAAATGATCATCTTACATGATCCTCATGACCTCATTGAGGAAGACCCCGTTGGTTAGCCTCTTGTAGCGCTCCAGGGAACTCTGGGTAACTGAGTTTACTTCCATGTACTGGCTGTAGAGCTGGATGCTGCTCTCGTTCTCCACCATATTCTCAAACAGCTGAACCTGCAGGAGGCATAATTTGTGAGATTATTTTGAGATCTGGTTTAGTCTCAAGTGTGAACTTAGATGCAGACAAAAATAAAACTGGAAAAACCGTGAGCAGTAATAAAAAGGGAGTGTGGATGGAGGAAGGATGTGTTCAGGTCCAAACATTTTCACACAGGAAGCCACTTGAGTCGGTGCACCTGTCTGAACAGGTGGGATCCATGCTCTCACACTGGGAAGCACTTCACAGTGACAGGCAGCCAACCAGGACTGCAGCCAAGGTCTCTCTTTCTCCTAATACGAGTAGTGCCAATGCAAACTGAAATATTTTGAAGGTTTTTTCCATCTGTACCCCTAAAAAAATCCCTGTTAGAAACAAACTTCAGCCAGCAGGAGGAAGCTGAGCAGCTTGAGAGTCTGCAGCAGAGGGAGAGCCGAGGATGTCCAAAAATATATAAAAATCCGGATGAAAACTCTCATGTCGGTGATTCTGGGACCTGCTAAGGGCCTTTGATCTGATAATAAACCTCTGGCAGGATCTGAATCTGGCATCCATCAGCTTCCTGTTGGCAAGGGGCAACAACCAATAGCAAACCCAAAAAGGTCCTGCTTCAATATAGGGATTCACCATAAACAGCACTCACAGACCAGGAGCATGAGGCTCCCAGAGACTGACTGGCTTCCAAATGCAACCGGATAATTGCCACAAATCCTTTTGCTATTTCACACTTTTGAATACATTGATCTACAAATAGTTTTAATATTAAATCAGTTTTACATATTGTCATTTATTCCACATGCTTGCTTATTTTACCACTCTTCATCCTTACACTGACTCCCTGTATCTCAGAGAATAGACTTTAAAATACTTCTGTTAGTCTTTAAATCCCTGCTTGGCTTAGCACCTAAATACATCACAGACTTGCTATCAGTGTATCAACCCTTCAGACCACTCAGGTCTTCTGGCTCCAGCCTGCTCTGCATACCTAGAACCAGAACTAAATGGAGAAGCAGCATTTAGTTCCTATGCTCCACTTATCTGGAACAAACTTCCAGAAAACGGTAAAAGTGCGGAAAGCCT